GAATGTGGGCGTCTCCTCCAACCTGGCTGCAACAGAAGCGCTTGCACTTGAGACGAGTGTGGTTTGTTGGGTGTTGGAGGGCTTTATAACTCGCTTCCCCTTCAAGTGAATTGGTCTGGAATGAGACTTACCCTCCACGCGAATAAGCAAGTGGAGTGAGAGCGGGTAGGGGGAGGGCATAGGAACCAGCTTGAAATTGGGCCAACGTGTCCTCATGACACCTTGAAGAAAAAATACACAAATAGACAAAAACGACTTAAAAAGATGGAGATTTCTTGAAGGATCCATATTGGGAAGAACAGCTGCAAGCTGTTTTTTTTATCTCTTTTTTATTACTCTTTTTTGCAAGAAATGGCCAGTTAATCCCATAAAACACTACCGGCTGTATGACGATGCAAATAAGCTGGAAAAACATTGTTATTTTCATTTGAATGGCCCTCAGCCTAAAATAACACAGTCCTGAGAGGCAGAGTCTGCATCCTCATAAACAGTCTGGGAGTCAGGCACTCCTGCTCTGATATCCTGTCAAGAGAGGCAACCAGACACCAAATGAAAACACATTACAGCACATCTTCATGTCTCATGGCCTGCAATGACTACAACGAGTGTGAAGTGAATATTTGGTTTAAAATGTATGAGTAGAATTCACGCGGGTTTTGGCAAAGAGGAGAGGATGAGACCCAGCCAGGGGATGAGATATGAATTTCAAATCCAAATAGAATATTTCATCACGGCTGAGCATATGAATTAGGAGGAAGCGTGTCCACAATTCCTTGCTGAAAGAATACTTCCACCTCTTTTTTGATAAAGACAAAATCCTGCAGCTGGAAAAGAAGGTATCGTATCTGTGCGCTCAGCATATCAGGCAAGTTCATTAGCTCCTTGAAAAAAGATTCATCACGAGCACCCCCCCCTCCGGTTACATAAACTATTAAACCTCAAAACAGCTTTATTATTTTTGGATTGTAAGCTCAGACTGAAATTGATCCGGGGGAGAAGTTGACGCAGGGATCGAAAAGCGGTTTTTCAGCACTTAATGCAGTGTGAAAAGTACTTGCTAATGTTTGATAAGCACATGTCTTCAAATGTTATTCATGACTTTTTTTGGGGGGGTGGGGGATTTTCTGTCCGGGGAGGTAATACACCACACCTCGCAGAGCTGGCACCGGCCTGGCCTGCGGCTCTCTGCTACTCCTAAGTCCTCTCTATACGGGTCAAATCACATGAAAACAAAGATGATACAGTGATTTAGAAAACATCTTTAGCACAAGATTCAACCTGGGGAAATGGATATTAAACACCGATCACGTGAAGTGCTTGATTTATGCTCTGTTTCAAGCTACGTGAGAGCTTTTAAGCCACTTAAAGTATCTGATAAAATAAATCAAACTCCAATGAAAGATGTTTTAACTGTATGAATATATATTCAACTCCATTTTTATGCCCAGGTCTGCAGTTCAGAGGTGTCCTTGTCATCCATAATAGACACTGATGGGAAACAAAGGACCCTTATTTAGCCATAAATCCACTGTGCTTAATTTAAAACCTGTGATGTTGTAACAGTCAAAGATCATTACTGACCATGATGGAGCTGCTGAAGAGTGCCTGAATAAACTCATAATGCGCACGAGCACACACACACACAGGGAGGCTGACACTAATATGGTCTAATTATGCCTCAGTACGAGGTAACCTGCAGCAAGCTGCAGAGGCGTGATGAGAATAGTTCTCCTCGCAGCGCTGTGTGTGTGTGTGTGTGCTCGTAGCCACTGAGTGGATAGTGTTTCGCCCTCATGAACTGTTACCGACTGCGGAAAAGGCCGTAATCTGCCTGACAAGTGAGTGACATAAGAGTTTCTCAAGAATCAACCACAGGAGATTTTCCTTTTTTCCCTTGCTAGCCCTGCTGCTAAGCTCAGATACTTAGAAAAAAAAAATAGAAAACTCAAAGTGGCACCAGTTTATCCAAAAAAACAGAATGTGTTCCCACAGATGTCCAGTGGGTTTGAGGTCTGTGGAGGGAGTCATCACGACCCGCTCTGCCTTTGACTTCAACTTAGCCTGGTGGGAAATGAATCCTCCTTCTGCCTCTGCACAGTAGAATACTTAATCAAATGTAGAAGCACGATAAATGACATGTTATCACTGACATTGACAGCTGTGAAAAAGTTACAGAAACAAATGTGGTTGGATAACTGAAATGTAGTTTTTGCATTAAAAACTCAGTATTGTCGGAATGGCGTTTTTTTGGCCAGTATGTGTTGTATATGAAACATGATTTCTTAACCAGAAGATACTGGAGCTTAATCAACAATAGTTAAATGTCTGTGTGGCACTTCATAAGCTTTTAATGTTATTGCAGCCACAACATCTGTTAACTAGAAGGCCTCTGCCAAGGTCAACAGTCTGGTCTCCTGCAATATGCAAATCTGCAAGCGCAGCCAAGTCTGTATTGCAATTGACCTCTTGCAATGTTAACGAAATGTTCCACAAAAGTGAAAAATAATTGTATCCACCCTGGGATTCGGATCTGCACCAAAATTTAAAGGGTTCTTTAAAGGGCCCATACTACACGGTCCAAGTTTTATTCAAAATCTGGAAAGTAGTTTTTCCTGCAGACAGACGGAACTGAAAACCCACTGTATGTAAGTGCCACAATAAATTTATCTGCTCATCTTTGTGAAACATTCAGCGCTAGAAGCTTGGCACTGTAGTGACGATACTAGAAGGGCGAGTTGGGAAACAGCTGTAGGTGGCAAGCTAATGGCTAAAACATGTGCAAGACTGGCAAGTGCTAGTGCCAGTCAGGCACAATTACGTTCTCGCAGGTTTGTGAATCAGAGCAAAAAAGCTCTCACAGCTAGCTACCTTGCTAATATCAAGCTCATTAGCTAGCCTTTTCAGTTCAAAAGAAGTATATGCACCTTCGACTCCTATCTCACAACTCTCTGGAACCAGTTCCTCTTTTGTGGAGCTGTTTAAACTCTGACGGAGGAGGTAACATAAAAGTGCATGGTGCAAAGAATGAGCTATGATCGCATTATGGCTCCAAGTCAAAAGGCTGCATTGTCAGGACAGCTTGCCATTGGTCAACTGCACATTAGACGGTGAATAAATTCTGCCATTTTAACAGGAAATTATATCGATTGATTTAAATTCAATACTAGGTTAAATAAACATATAAATAATTGTTTATATGTATATATATTCTTGAATGAGAATGGTGTCTGCTGAAACCAGCTGAACATGGTTGCTGGTTTGAGCTCGTCTTAACAGGTGTTGGGGCTGGTTTAGGTGATTTAAAAGGCTGGACAAGCTGGTTTCCAGCAGCTGCTTTAAACTCGCAATGCTATGTGTGTTTGTTTGTAGGTATCTACCCCAAACTGTATAAATAATAATAAGGAAACTTAGGTCCACAAATGGCAGCAAAACAGCAAAAACGTAAAGTTTTCATTGATATTTTTTCTCAGTATTTCAGTAGTCTTGCAGCGCAAGTTTATCAGATGAATAACCTCTCTCTCTCTCCCTCTCAGTAACTCCATCACTCCCTTACTTTGTGCTGAGTCTCTATGAAAAGGCACCCACTCACTTTCACCTTACATTGCCTCCAGTGCTCTTATCTGCTGGCCTTATCTCTCCCTTGAAGTCTCTGACTGCAGCCTGTTACTCCCGCCGGCTGAATGCGGAGTGTTTGCACCCTCCTGCCCCCTGGTTGGAGTCCGGAGCGACTCTTGATGCTGACATACCAAATTTTCAAAGTTAGGTTTGAATACAGTATTTTCACCAGGTCACGCTAAAAGGTTACAATCCTGCAGGGCTGAATAGTTTTGCAATAGTAATGATTTTTTTGGTTTTGGCAGTAGATTGTAAAGAAATGGAGTAAAAATTAAAAAGAAATCTGCTGGCGGTGTTTAGTTATTTTAATATCTGACGCTGCTGGAGTACTAATGAGAAAATGTGCTGATCACAGATACTTGATGGAGATGACAAGGACACAGCCTTGTCCCTCCATCAGGCAGGTTTTTGTTTTCAAGTCACACATCAAAGACCTGTACAAAATGGGGGAGATTAACCTCAGATAACCAATGACAATCTCATTTATCCTGCCTGCATCCGGCGCGAATGTGTGTTTTCACAAGAGAAAGCACTTATAAATTCCTCTCACTCCCTTTGGAAAGAAAGAAGGGAGTAGGGGTGGGGGAGAAAAAAAAATAGCCGTACCTGCTGATACATTTCGAACCGAATATTCCCATCACATTGACTCTAGTCATCACAGACCATGAGACATGAAGATGCGCTGTAATGTGTTTTCCTTTGCTGTCTGGCTGCCTCCCTAGACAGGATATCAGAGGACAGTGGCGTACTCCCAGACTGTTTATGAAGTACAGCGGCTGCCTCTCAGGACCGTGTACCAGATGAGAAGCGACTTGGCTCTTTGAGTGTGAGACCTTCATTTGAACTCGGTGCCTTGGAGAGATGGCTTGCATATGATTCCAGGAGACTCTATTCATTCAAAAAAATTAAAAAAAAGGCTCTTTAGCATAATTTCTTAGCCCAAGCAAGCCAAAGCAGCAATTTCTTTAAAAAAAAAAAAAAAGGTCCCTGCATTTGGTCAGACAAGTCCCACCACCCCCTCCCAACCCCCCCGCAAAACAGGCATGCTTCAGTGAAAGAGTGGCATCATAACCAGGGCAGAAAGTGAGGATTTAACCAATTGGCACTACTTGGCTGAATTATAGTATTTGTTGCCAGCATGTAAAGTGCACTAGCTTTCCCTGCAGTATGAAAAATTGAATCTGTTTGAAGTTTGACTTCAGCTGCTGTAACCGTACCAAGTAACTGTAGAGACAGACACTAAAAAAGAAAATGAATGGGGAAATCTATTTATTTATTTTTTTTAATCCAACACTTCTTATCAGAAAAAAAAAAAAATCTAAACATTCCCAATTGATGGGATTTTAGGCTTCCAGTTGTTCAACAATGGGACTTAACTTTTTCTGCCTCTACATTGAGCTAGGAGTCTGATACCATGTCAAGCTATCAATCACTTCTCTATAGCTGAAACTGCACAAATGGGAAGGCCAGGACGAACACAAATCAAAAGGAATGGAGGGTTTCTCTTTTCACTAGTTGTCCAAATCTACATTGTGAAAAGCATAATTATTTTATTTTTTTTCTCATTTCCTTACACGACTCTTTTCAGCAATCAGTTTCATTGGGAGAATGTTTGAGTGGAGCAATAAGGAATGAAGGGTGTGTAAAAAGTTTTTTTTTCCTTTTGTTGTTTTTGGAGATGACCCAACATTGAGGGCTTGATTTTTTTTGTTTTTTGTTTTAGTTCTCATTCTCGCCGCCCTCTACTGCTTCTCCACCATCGCCCTCCTCAGCAGCATTGTCTGATGTCCATAACTGAGGAAAGAAACAGATATTTGTTTAAAACACAGAGAAATACAGTCATTATTATCCACACTCTTTCTAAAATCTGATGCTTGGAGAGAAATAGTTTCTCCCTTTTCTTCATTGTAGCTGTCAGGGGGCCATAACTGAGATGATGTTTCATAAAGATAGCAAGGGTTTTGGTTGAACCATTTTACATCCAGAGACTTGTTCCATCTTGGCTAAAACTTTTGTATAATTATATCCTAAATTCTGACCATTTGTACCACATACAGCGCTCAGCATTCAGGCCTTACAGACTAGTATTTTTTCCTTCTATGGAGCAGACTGTCCTTTTTGCTAAATTATTTCCAATCGTTGTAATTTTCCACTGAATGACTCCAGCCAAAGTCCAGAGATAATTTATGTAAACAAAAGAAAACAATAAACTGTTTAAGTTGGATTGTTAAAGTAACAATTATGACTACAGAGCAATTTGGTGTTTCAGTCGTATTAACTGCGATTTTTGAGATTTTCTAAAACTGTGCTTTTGCATTGAAAATGACCATATTAGGCTTTGATTAACACAGCGTAGACATCTGAAGTGCTGCAAATACTAATCCTATTTTTAAATAAATCCTGCCTACAAAGAAGTTCAGTTCCTTGACTGTCAATGAGGCAACTCAGTATACCTCAAAACTAAGTGCTGGTCACATCATCGAACAGGATCTGAAACCCCCTTTCTTACAGCGGAAAAGACAGGGAGGAGTGACTTTTTAAAATTGGCCATCTGACAATCACGACAACTTCACAACTGGCAAGGTGTTTGAAGATGCGAGCTTCTCTTTCTGGCTCTTCACACAGTTACTTTAATCCCTTTAATACTTTAACCTGATTTTCATGTCCAAACATTCTGTGTGTATACAACAGGACTGGGTAATAATTCAATTGCTTCTTTTACTGACTTTAAATTGAATTAGTTTTCCACGCAGCAGCCGCTGCCTCCTCGACTAACGGGTCTGCACATGCGCAGTCAGTTCCTTCTCTGCATCAAATTCTACAGGCTTGAGCAAAATGTCTTCTAAAAACCTTTTGGGATTTCAAAGTACATGACTAATCCAGGTTTTTTATTACTGTATGAGCCCTAATGAATGCCTCTGAGGAGAGACTGTCCATGTGAGCCATTATCACATTAGTATGGATTATCACATCCCACCCCTTATTATAACAGCAGGCTTTTTGTCCTTGCCTTCAAGTGTGGCCATTCAAACACTCAACACGGATCATTTTTGTGTCTTATAAGAACCCAACACTCACTGTCAGGTTGTCTCTGAGGAGCTGCATGATGAGAGTGCTGTCTTTGTAAGACTCCTCATTTAGCTGGTCAAGCTCTGCAATGGCATCATCGAATGCCTGTAAGCAAAAAAAAAAAAAAAAA